GCCTTCAAACCCGCCTTTCAAAAAAAAAAAAAAAACACCCAATGGGTGATGTCGCAGTGCGTTTGTCCAGTTTTTATACAGTCAGTGTGGTTTACTCACAAACGTGTAGTTTCAAGTGGCAATGAGAACGCACAACAACACAGACCATTCAAACCAACAATAAGGGTAGACAAAGGTGAGTCTCTTAATGTCACAAAGGTGCACAGTTACACACACATGAAAAGTAACATGACACCTGACATACAGTATCTGTCTGATGCGTTGACAACACTGGGCGATCAGGGATGGATGAACAAGTAGATGTGCATGAATGCCTATGCATATAAACACCTCAGTAAATATAGGCTCTGAGATGTTTTCACACTAGACAACTTGAATAATGTCTCATCCTGACGTACATCTCTCTCTCTCTCTCACACACACACGCAAATACACTGTATATACTCAAGTGAGCAGGGTTATTGAGGATGTGGTGGCAGACAGCCAGAGGTCTGCTGCAAGGTCAGGTTTCATCAGGAGGATCAGAGGAGAGCAAGTGGGTTTGCCAGATCAGGAAGAAAGAGAGAGTTTCATGTGACAACAAACAGAAGAGCCTGAAGGAATCTGTCCAGTTAGTCAACATTAGTACAAGTAAACGATGTATCACACTGTGCTTTACAGCGCCCCAGGTAAACTTTGAAGGCCATTCGCGTTTGAAGGTGCAGAAATGTGATCCCACTGACATGTGCATTGCTTCTTTTTTGCAAACCAAGGCAGAGTTTTAATTTAAGTAGCAGTGACAAAAACAGTTGTAATTTCAATTTATTAACGGCAATTTTTATTTTCTTAATGCAGGCGAGTGGTTTATGGTCCAAACGTGCCACTGCTTGTTTGTTTTCACAAAGTCAAATACAGCTGCCTGGGATAAAAATGGACCTGTTGTCATTCACATGAGAATCTTGATGTCTGATCAAATATCAAATACACTGGGAAAGGGGTGTGTCAGTAAATCAAAGAGGAGGTAGTAGATCAGAGCGAAGCATCCCTGAGAGACAAACTACTCTGGTTTTATGAAAATGCGACTGTCAGATGAAACGCATAGCAACCTAACCTGCGACATACAGTACTCTCCAACCAAACCAGCCACTAAATCATATCTCAGATGATACAGATAAAGCAAATTGTTGCTTTCAAGGGAAATAGTTGCTATGAATCAGTGACATGTTTTGAAGGCTTTCATGTCCAGATGGATTTATGGTTATTTAAACGCAGGTGTTACTCAGCACCCTCTTTCTAAAGCTCTCTCTGTCTGACTGCAAGAGAGTGTGTCGACAGGTCTGTGTGTGTGTGACCGAAAAGAAGGGCTAACCTAGGTGTGTGTGTCTAAACAGTCATGCCAGGCAATTAAGGGTTGTGTGACATTTTCTTCCACACTGTGCTAAAAATAAAACGTTCACAGAAGATTTAAGACCCCTTGACCTCTGCACAACAACCAGTGTACACTCCTGTAAATGAATACGGACAATACACACATGCAATACTGAGACTGGTCGAGTCAGCACCTGCACCTCTGAGCAAGCAGGTGTGTGTGTGTGTGTGTGTGTGTGTGTGTGTGTGTGTGTACATGGGATGGTGTATATACAAAATTTAAAGGAAAAAAAAAGTCTTTCATGGCTTCATCCAGCACATCTGTCAATAAAAAAAAAAACAGGAAGTACAGCATATATATTTATTAATGCTGAACTGATTATTCAATTTAATAAGTCAGTAGAGAAAAGTCACTTAAGAAGCAGAAAAGCTTAAAGTTCTCTGGTTTAGATTTTCTGCTTTTCGCTGTTGTATCACAGTTTTGATCTGTTTTGTATTACTGTTTATCTACTGTTGGTGTTGGTTGGATCAAAATCTACAGACATTACTTTGGCGTCTGAAATTAAATGTTTATGTTTCATAGAATTGACATTTTATAAATAAACTGATTATTTGAAAAGATAAGAGAAACAGATGAATTTTAAAAAAGCAAACTGCAGACAATTTTACAACTGCTTGTAAATTGGTGCACAAGACACTTGTTGTGCTAAACTCTAGCTGAATATGAGTGTGCACTGACAGGAAAGCTGTTAAGCTCAATGGTATGCATTTGTCTGGCTGGTGTGTGGATTAACAGTCAGCTGGAGTGTGAGTCACCAACTGAGCAATACTAACACTTACTGTATTTAGGAGTCGACCTAGGTGGTGGCTGTAGACAGCAAAACGCACACTCAGATGAAAAGTACAAGTATTCAAAGATACGCAAACATAACACACTGCAGTCACAATTCTGACAACGTGAAGTACTGAATGGTACATTCATTGTTGAGAGTTTTTCTGTTAGTGCTGCTATTTCTTCATTTCTTTCATTATATAACCCACCTTTGATGTTTTTATTTGTTTGTCTTTCCTGCATCATATAACTATTTGTTACTTCAATGCCCCAGTTCTTCCACTGGGATCCCTTCTATCTGATGTTACAAATAAAATCAGCATCTTAGCGTTATGTCCTACAGAAGACAAAGAAGCATCATGTTCAGAAACAGAAATGAGGAAGAGCCTTAAAATCAAAACCCCTGTAAAAAGTATTCTCTTACACCAGGACACATCTCCACTAATGTATCCGAGAGGAAATGTGAATGTAGTGACCGAGTGGGAGAAAGTGTGTGCTGGTGTGTACTTCTGTTCTTGGAAGGCTTTGCGTGTGTGAGCCAATCACATCCGGACAACTAACATCATGCTAACCATCTCCAGTGACACAGTGGCACACGCCCACATCTCAGACAGGAAGCAATGACGGCAGACAGGAAGAGAGTGACAAACAATGTCCAGAGCCAAAGCCCGGACTGGTCATTCACAAAAAGCTATTCAATGCTGAATCAAAGGCTGAGCTGTTGTTCACTAATGTTTAGTGTGCTCTTGTAAAATCATTATAATCTTATCAAATGGAGTCGATAAAACAACCTTTGCAACAATATTTGTTCACACACACAGTTCAACAGAAGCCACAGCACACATGACCAGTGTGCCTGTTGGGACTTTTCAACACAATGTGTTTATGACAGTGAGAAAAGGTGAAAGATGGGTCCTAGAATCATAATCAAAGTTGTTCATACTGAAACTTAAGTTCATTTTAGAAGTGACTACATATCAACTCAACTTGTGCCAGTCTGAATGGCACAAACTGAGGCCAAGGCAGCTTTTAAAAAAAAAAAAAAAGAAAAAAAAAAGTGCTTAACCAGGGTTGTATGATTTCCCACAAGGCTGGGCAATTAATCAAATTTTATTGTCAAGTACAATTTTGGCATCCAAAGATTGTGAAAACAAAATAACTGAAATAAAGCAATTATTGTGCCATGTTCCATTTTTGCAATGATGCTCTCTTAATATGAACAATATCTTTTTTCCTGCACGGTATATAAAACAATAAGTAAATGTGCGCAAGTATAAAAGACTTGTTTCATGGTCCAAAACCTTCTAAAAAGTGCGCTCTGCATGTGCAGCCCATCTTTCATTTC